TGAGAATAACCCCCATAAACAAGCCTGAAGTGAGCTTCAAGAATCATGTGACCCGAAGGCCAGTAGAAAATATGATAGGTCAGAAATGCAGTTGTCACTGGCAGCATCAAGAATCAGCAGTAAGGTGGCCAGGACTCCCATTTAAAAGACATACTTGAAAGGTTAGTGGAATTCCTGGCTCTGAAAGCATAATCTTCAAATTTGTTATGTAATTCTTTCATAAAATATGCCAAAATTGACTCAAATTTTGATAATCAGCTGAATAAGTATGGGCATGGATATACACAATAAAAAGCTCGAGGAGTGGGATCTACCACACAGTTCCATCGCAGTTACCATCTATTTTGCCAAAATCCTGAATTCTGAATTTGTACCTTACTCAGGTTTGCACTCAGAATAATCTGCTTCTTAAATGGATATTCATCCTTGGTATCAATCTCAGGAGTATCCTGGTATACAACCAGGAGTGGAGACATGGACACCTAAAGTCAATTTTATACTAATTTGCTCACAGTTGAGTATGCTCCTGTTTTATCTGGTCCAGACCTTGAGACTCACTTTAATAAGGATTCAGGAGGTTCTGGAGCCTGGAAATTAAATTTAAGCCTGGTTCTCAAGAGGTGACATTGTACAAGAAAGTTCAAGGCAATATAAAAATCAGGGCTGAATAGTTTCCATTACTAAATAGTAATTACAGACAAGGGGAGATTAGAGGGGTAGTCTTATTGACTGAAGGACTGATTACTTTCTTCAAACTGAAAGATATGCCTCTTCACCCTCTATGCCGGTCTAGATTCAAACAATAGATCCAATAAGCCACTTGCTGTAGTGAATCCTGGCCAACAAGCCTTGAGATTCATGTACTGCTACTTCTTTTTCTGAAAGTAAAAGTTGTAGGAACTATGAAAGGGGTCTAGACTTCGACTTCTGTTCTTTTACATCCAAATATAATTCAAGTGTTCAATTTTATTCAAAGTAAGAGAAGAGTCTGTCAGTCTAACTTTTTTTGAGGATGTCTATTACTGTGAACTCTGAACAAAAATGACTAGCTTAATTTTATAGAATGATAGGACTCTCATTTACTTCATTAAAGTCAAGATTTTACCCTGCTTCCCTTAGTAAAGATAAATTTCTACATGTAGTTTTCAGAGTGATATCATAGATAAACTCCTGTTCTCATAATTCTCAGCCAATCCAAAAGGTTACTTAATTATAAACAGTCCTGATTATAAAAACAAACGGGTTTTTATACCGTAAACCCATACAAAGAACTTTCCCACTTACATTCCCTCTGAAGACATAGAAATAAACAGTCTGTAAAAGCAACTCTGAGCTCTCCCTCAAGGCTAGCATATGGAAATGGAAGAATAAAATAACTGAATCATTGATCCTTGGCATTCAAAAAAACCGACCAATACATTCTAGTCATATTCATACCCTTTCTGCCTTACCTGTCCCTACTCCCTACATTTATTGCTACACAGCATCCCAAGTTTGACAGAAGAGTAAAGGGCAGTGAAAAATGCAACAGTCTGCACAAAAGATTGTGTAGAAACAATTTTTCCGTCTTGAAGCTAGGCATTTGTATGTTAAAGACAAGAATAATGGATGAAGATTACATATACAAGGAGTAACATGACTGTAGCCAGGGGAGGCAGATCAAAGACAGTGGTGTCTGTATGCAATGTATAACAACTTGTTAAACAAATCTGTAACAATCAAAACACCACCTGATAAAAAATAAAACACCACAATATATAACTAATCATTTTAGCCAGTTTAAAACTGGCTTAAAAGAGACAGAAGAAAAACTTCCAAGTGGTTGATGGTTGCAATTGCTACTGGTTTTGATAGAGACATTAAAAGTCAGTTGCCTTTTCAGAAGGTAGATGCTTAGCCCTTAGAAATTCTGACCTTATCAAAAAGTTTGTTCTATGAGTAAATTCCTACAATATCAAGTCATATCAAGATTACAAGAGGGTGCGACAGTTCTCTTTTTCCTGTTAATTGAAGTAAGAAAACCAATATACAAGAATGCCTCATGAAATATCAATCTACTTCTGTTGCACCCAAAGTCACTATCAGAATTTTCTTTTTTATGCACTCAACTATCTATGTTTAAAACAGCACCGATGTGTATCTTTTTGAATCCTTGGCAAGACATTTGGCTTTTAGTAGCTACTGCTTGTAATTAGGGGTCGTTCCACTCCAGCGAAAAAAACGTTTCCTACAAATGAATGTAATTCTCTCTCTTACGGAACCGAAGTCTAGGAATAACATTCACTGGGTAAATTCCAGAAGTAATTATAATAATTCCAACTAGATGAACATTCTGTGCTTTCTATTTTGTTAAAAGCAGCAAAAAGTTACCTCTTTAGTTATCTTATTAATGTAATTTATGCCACTCCAAAAGTTGTGACTTAGGTGTATCAAGGAGCATTTACTTTCTCCAAGCACCTAAAAGACATCTAAGACCTTTGATTTCTCAATATGTTACTTATGTTTTATGAATTAGAAAAGTTTCTCTCTACTTTTGTAGACAATTCATTGCAGTAATATAACATTCTACTTAATTCTGCAGTCAGCCACAAAGACAGAAAAATATCATTGGACCTTATTTTGCAGTGCATAGTGTGAACACAACCCTGTAAACAGCCATAAAAGTGACAAATCACCTGAGGTCTTTATAGGTATTTGAACATTTTTCTTCTGGGTTGTAAACTAGTATATTATGGTTTTGACAAGTTCATTGCTAACTGTATTTATTCATTGCACCTGGAATTTTCAATATGTCCTAAACTGCACACAAAATTTTGAAAATATCTTGTTAAATGTACTTTACAGTCAATTTCCAAATATGGTTAAAAGAGCAGAATGCTCATTCTTTTTCAACAGAACAATTACATTCTAGATATAAGCTGATGCTGGAAGGTCTTAGCATTTAGATTCATCTTGGCACACACCTCAGACTAAATTCTTTTTTTTTCTCCAAAAGGCATTCTAAAACATTTAAAAAAGTATTGTCTCCCTTCCTCCTTCTCTCCCTTCTTCTCTATCTTCTAATGTCAGATAAAGTGATGAAAAAAAGGTAAGAGAAATTCTTGTTGCCATGATGTAAATACATTCTGATAAAGATGCTCCTGCACTTTCGTTAGTTTTGTCTTTTATCATATTTACCATATGGCTAGAAGAGGCCTTCACAGTCATCTCATTCTTCCTATACTCAGAACAGGGATCAGCTTTATGTAGGCCAGTACTGACAAATGCTTATTTAACATTTTCTTACAACCTTCACTGGCAGGCTCAAAGTGAGGTGTTCTCACACTTACTACTTCTTGCCATTAAATTCTTTTCCTCAGTGTCTACTTTGAAATTTCCTTGTTGTAGCTGAAGCTTCTTTATATTAACAACAATCATGGGAATAGGTTATATCCTTCCTGCTTTGTTTATCTGAAGTTATGTTCTGCTCAATTGTCTCCCTAGTTTTTCAATATTTCCTCACATATCATAAAACTATAGCTATGAAAACACTTGTGTAGCTTTCTAAAATATATAAACCAGGATACTAAATACATAAAAAGGAGCCATCTAAACTATGTTGCACACCACTCTTGAGATGAGCCATGTTTTGTAGGTACAGATGGATAATCCTGCTTTCCATTAAGTTCACTAGCTGTGGTGCAAATTCTGATGATCAGAGTTGTCCCTTACAGTGTATGGGAGAAAGAGAGCTCCCCATTCCTTAATTCAGGAATGTAAAGCAGATGTAAAGCAGATGGAGCAAGCAGAGTAGAGGTGAAATTCTGTAATTTTTTGATCAGTTTATTCCTACACTGTTGTTGCCTTTATGATTTCCAACTAATGACATTCTTAAAATGAGATGGAGAACTGCTTTGCTAGATGAGGACTAGAAAGCTTGGACTTTGTAGAAATGAGCATCCAACTGCTCCTTTCAAAAAATTATCATGTTCCATGCACAATTATAAAAATTACTTGGGTCTTCTGCATATCTGTTCATGCTGTGAAGGACTTTCAGAAAAAAAAATGAGCATGTAAACCAGAAACATATTTTATGCTACCTAAATGCCAAGAATCTGAAGTCTATCTTCAAGAGTAAAGTTCTTAAAGAATGATTTTGCATTTGATTTTTCAGGAATATAGTTTACTATCTCACTATTTTATCAAAATACCCTTAGATGCAATGCCCAGAAATTTCAAATTCATGAAAAAGACACTGTTTAAAGAGAGACAATATGTCTCAACCATATCAATAAGATTTTTTAAAATGTCAGCAGTAGGAAAAGTTCTAAAGAATCCTTCCATGAATTTGAATACTTTCTCTTGCATGCATGCATTTTTCATTTGTATAATTAAATATGCCTTTCCACAGAGGGTGATAAAGGCAATTAATTCTTCCTCAGTCAATCCAATGAGAAAATAGCCGCAGTATGGGTAGGCCATTCATGCAGATAATAGCTATACTACAGACTATTGTGTAGCAATTTAGAGTACACATAAACCAGCACATCCTCCTAACCCCGACAGACCTAGTCTTTGTATGTTCTCCTTGATACTTGTCAAGCCTGTTAGTATTCCAGTGATAGGTTAGAATGGCATAATGGTTTGCCTACCCAGCACAATTTAGACATTTTTCCTTTTCATCTTATTCAATCCATCTGCAGAGTTAGCTACACTGAAACAATTCAACACATGCTTATGTAATGTCTCACTGATGGTTATGTTTACTGAAGATAAAAATAGCAAGGAGGATACAAACTAGTCAGCAACAAATATGAAACATCATGTTGCTGCAGATATTTCCATGCTGTTCTGAGTTGAATTGTGAAATTATTTCCCTATTGATCCTGCATACCCACTGCTTGCTAACATCATCTGTAATTTAGCACTGCAGATATCCAAAATAATGTTATATATTCTCTTCTTTTTCACAACTATGCTTGCTTTCATACTTAAGCCTATGTATTTTTCTTTTCCCCCAGGTAATGCTTTTGTGGTGAGCCTAGCTCTGGCTGATCTGGTGGTGGCCTTGTATCCATACCCACTGGTGCTCTTAGCTATTTTCCACAATGGATGGACGCTGGGTGAAATGCACTGTAAAGCGAGCGGCTTTGTGATGGGACTGAGTGTAATAGGCTCTATCTTCAACATCACTGCAATTGCAATAAACCGATATTGCTATATATGTCATAGTTTTGCCTATGACAAAGTGTACAGCTGTTGGAACACCATGCTGTATGTCTCCTTAGTCTGGATATTAACAGTAATTGCAACCGTGCCAAATTTTTTTGTTGGCTCTTTAAAGTATGATCCACGCATCTATTCATGCACATTTGTTCAGACTGCAAGCTCCTATTATACAATAGCTGTTGTGGTAATTCACTTCATTGTCCCTATCACCATTGTGAGCTTCTGCTACCTTCGAATTTGGGTTTTAGTGCTTCAAGTCAGAAGACGAGTCAAGTCAGAAACAAAGCCAAGATTGAAACCAAGTGATTTCAGAAACTTTCTTACCATGTTTGTAGTTTTTGTGATTTTTGCCTTTTGCTGGGCACCGCTTAACTTCATTGGACTGGCTGTAGCCATTGATCCTACAGAAATGGCACCAAAAGTTCCTGAATGGTTATTCATTGTAAGTTACTTAATGGCCTATTTCAACAGCTGCCTTAACGCAATTATATACGGACTTCTTAACCAGAATTTTCGGAATGAATACAAACGAATTTTAATGTCACTGTGGATGCCAAGGCTTTTCTTCCAGGACACATCCAAAGGAGGGACAGATGGCCAGAAGAGCAAGCCTTCTCCTGCTCTAAACAACAATAACCAAATGAAAACTGATACCTTGTAACTATGTCATAGTCGATGCAAGAGTTTGACATGGAGAAAACCAAGAATATGGTTGCAATGTTCTGGTCATTCCTGACTGCTTGTGTGTGGGGGGGGATTCCATCTGGATAACACTTCATGACTGGAATACTGTCTTGGTAAAGCACATCACTCTTGATCCGTGATTTATACTAGACAGCAATTGAAAATGTGTTTCAGAACTAAAGCAGCAGGTGGGTGCAAGCTGTTTTAGTTCTCAGAGCTGAATCCTGCTTCCAGACACATGAATGAGGTATTTTTTACTTCATTGGGAGTTTTGCATTCTTTTTAGAGTATCGAGATTCATTTCTTGGAAGGTGTAGTGAATGTACTTGCCTATGGGTACAGCAGCTCATCAAGGATGGGGAGTCCTGCTTTCCTCCCTTCTGACTCTGCATTTCTGTGCATGTACCGATGACAGTAGTGGTATCTTGGAAACAAACTTGTAAATTGGAGAGAATAATATTTGTGTAAAAGCAAATATTTACATTAGAGACTTCCCTCGTGGGTTTTTCATGTTTACATACACTGAGATTGGGAATGCAGAGCATTTACCCTGCTCATTTTTTATGATCAATTTTATGGTAGATAATATAATACAAATGGTTGATTTCCTGCAGGTTTACTTCACATAATATTCATCTTTTAGAAAGGATTGAATTTTCATTGAACTTCATTTATTTACCTAAATATATACACCCAATGTTCTGTGGCACTTTAGCACACCTTACACATTTGCAACAGGCTGGAAAATATGGCTACAACTTGTGATCATCTGGACTGGCAACCAGCTACTAGGTAAGACATCCTAGATCATCTCAAGAGATGCAAGACCAAAAGAAGAAGCCATTTTGGCTATAATGGTAGCTGAGATACTCGATTCACATGTCTACATCTAATCTTGAACAAAACCCTCTGTTGGTGTCTAATCCAAGACAACCTTGAAGGTTCCCTATAGTGGAGAGTGATGATAAACACACACCCAAAGATGAGATGAATTGCTTTGTGAAGGTGCTGGTCTCCTTCAACTGACTTCAGAAAGAGCTTTGATTACTATTCAAACACCTCATTTTGGATAGCTAGACAGGGATTTATTTTGCCTCATTTGGGGTGACTTTGGTGTAGATGTTTGCACAGGATCCATTATCTAAATTCCCACTGTAGTCCATAGAGTTCTAGGGAATTATTCACTCTATCTTGAAAGAGACATCTTTATTGGTAAGGGGAGCTGATCAACGGAACTCGTTGACTGTACCTTCATTGACTGTAATAGAGATCAGGCAGCTCATGTAGACACATTTCAGGCAAAGAGAGGTGATCTTAATCTCATAAATAGTGTACCTACAGTTTATATTTGCACAGTTCATAAAATAAAAGGATGATTTTCCATTTTATTTTCAAACTCATCTTGAATTCAAACTGGATTTTTTCTTTTCCAGGTAACTGGTGTAACAGTGACTGTGCAGATCAGATTACAATCTGGGTTATACTACATAGCATCATAGTAATTTACACAATGTGGCTGTATTACCTCTAAATCAGATTAGAGATCTGTGTGCAGACACAACAGTCAGTGTGAAGTTATTTTATCATTAGACCTGAAATGCACATTATTCTTAGTAGTGCTGTTTAGAGGAGAGAAGCCAGGTCTCTGGCAAATCCATGTCAGGTAGTGAAACGGTAAAATGAGGAATTCGGGTTTCCATGACATTCCAGTTTGGGTTTCCTGACCCGGCTATCATAAAAAAATATTTCTGTAGTAATACTAACTTGTACAGCAAATATACTACTTCTGAAGCCATAAAAGATGTATTAAACATCACCCTCACGTTGCTCTACTGATAGAGAAATATCAAATTACCACAGTATTTAAAATGTTTTATTTGCTTTCCAAAAACCTGTGTAAAGTACAGCAAAGTAGCAAACATGATTATTCATTTAGTTGCTTTCATGTTCTTCAGATAGTCAGAATTCCAGTACACTAGGACTCGGGCAGTAGTAGTCTCATAAGAAGCTGACACATTTGTGAAGAGGGGTAAGAAAGAGACGGGACAAGTACAACCTGGTGGTACATAATAAAAATATTGTTGCTAAAAGTAGCAATCATTATTATGTAGGTTCTACCTGAAACACAATTTTGTAAGTCTGACATAGTTTTGATATGTATCGTCCTTTCTCATGACTTCCACACTAAGGTATTGAACAAACAATTAATATGCATGCATGTCTACACGGGAAATTTCCCCCAGAGTAAATAAGGAGTTTCAAGATTCTGGGAAACTCGTAGGAAATTACCTTAAGTTTGATTAACTGACAATCCTGCTTTCGCTGACTTCTCTGAGTACTCAATATTGTGACTTGAAAGTCAAAAACTGTTGACTGACTTAGAGATGAACTAGTGCTAGAAGTAGATTGATTGACCTTGGTTTATCACTTGCTGGCATGAGTCAGAACAGAGCCCAGAAGTCAAAAAATTATTCATTTAGCTCCATAAAACAAATATAAATGTGGGAACCACTTGTTTGGTCGTAAAATTGAGCTGCTATCATTCTCCATACTCATGAGGAGAAAGCTTGAAATTTTTATGAAGTAATTTTACAAATTATCTCTGCTATTTAAAAATTAAAGATCACTTTAGGAATCCTTGTATTGGTATCTCCTCAACTATCCTAAATGAAGCTTACACACATAATTGAATAGAATCAAGAATCATAGAATGGTTTGGGTTGGAAAGGGACCCTAAAATCATCTAATTCCAACCCTTCTGTCATGGACACCTTCCACTAGACCAGGTTGCTCAGAGCCCCATCCAACCTGACTTTGAACACTTCCAGGGGTGGAACACTCGTAACTTCTTTGGGCAACCTGCTCCAGTGCTTCACCACTCTCACAGTTAAGAATTTGTTCCTAATATCTAATCTAAATCCACTTTCTTTCTGTTTAAAGCCATTACCCCTTGTCCTGTCATTACAAGTCCCTGTGAAGTCTATCTGCATCTGTCTTATAATCTCCCTTAAGGTACTGGAAGGAGCTCTAAGGTCTCCCTGGAGCCTTCTTTTCTCCAGGTTGGACAATCTCAGCTCTCTCAGCCTGTCCTCATAGCAAAGGTGTTCAAGCCCTCTGGTCATTTTTGTGGCCGCCTCTGGACTTGCTCCAACAGGTCCATTTTCTTTCTTTTGTTGGGAACTCCAGACCTGAATACATTACTGGAACACAGTAATGCATTGTTGAAAGAAAGAAGTGTTCCAAAATTTGATCCTTCCTCACAAATGACCGAAAAGTTTTTGAACAGTGCTGAATTATTAGGAGTGGATTCTACCACCACAGCATTTCCTGAATGGGACCTTGCTCTGCATGGTGTCTGCAAAGCCAGTGGAGCTATTAATTTGCCAGATACTGCTACTTGTTGAGTCCTGATGTACGGACAATAACTCATGCTGGCTAAAATAAGTTTTATACCGTGTATTGCCACAAAGTGTTGCATTTGAGTTGACCTGGAAATCAATCAAATCCATATAATTTAAATTTTCGTGGAAGTCAATTAAATGCACAAAAATTATATTAATTTAAATGGCTAAATGCAGCTCTTGCATAGTGAAAACTCTTCATGTACTAACATACACTTTCACCTACATCAGAAGCCTTAAATTAATTTTCTCCCTTTTTAACTTTAAACTCAAAATCCATTTTCCCCCAGTTCATGTGTGAAGAAAAAAAATTATAAATGCACCATCAAGACACGTGATATCGTCAGGAAGAATGTATCAGCTCTGAATAGATTTATGCATCTTTGAAAAAATTATTATTTTTTTTGAGTAAAAGTATTTGCACCAGCATATCAAGCATAAACACTTTAGGAAAAAGCAGAAAAAAAGTCAGGTAGATGCTGTGTTCTGCATAAGGTAACTAGTGAAGGAAAAAGTAGGACCTCAGGGACAAAGTCTGTTTCCAGAAAATTAATGTTATCTTGATTAAAAAGTACTGCATTTTCTGTTCATTAAACAAATAAATGTCTCCTAGCATTGTTCTTACAATAGAATTCTGGTTAGAAAAGAAGCTTACCCTTGCATAGATGGGTGAAGACTGCTTGTAAATTCTGTTTCAGTAAAGAAGGAAGCGGAGGTGTGGTAAAGTCTAAATGAGACTGAAACAATGCATTAGTCTTATCCTGTCACTCTGTGCAAGCAAAAATTTCACTCTCAAGGAAGAATAGTCCTGTTACTGTTGACTTTCATGAGATCAGCTTTTCTTACTGAATTATTGACTGAATAGAATAATTTTGCCATGTTCATTCTCAGGGGCAGAAATGTACTTCTGTCTCTCCACTTCTTCCTTTAAGAACATATTTAGATAAAAATTATTGCTTTTATTTCCCAATTGTATTTCAATGAACTGCACAAGTCTGGGAATGTGCCAATGAATAAATATATATGGAAGATTGTATATATTTCTTAATATGTATATAATACAGTTTTGATCACCTGAACAATTTGTTGCACTTAAAGATGTTTACAGATTTAATGGAAAATGTGGAAGACAATTTATTTTCAGTCATCTGAATATGTTGTTATTTTAACTGGATCTTGCACACCTGGTCTATGATAATAAATCAATATTTTACCTCAAGTTATGAGTGTGTAATGAGACCGCTATGAATGTCAGCTGCAGAACACACAATTGATTCCTGATCACTGTCTTATTAGTAACACCTCCAGTTGACTAATAAGATTATTTTTTCAATCTATATTTTTAAATATTTTTGTGGCATAACATTACTCTGGGTTAAGAACATTAAGTCTATTGTCAAAAAATGGATGCTCCTTATTTTACGAGTGGAGTTGGAGGTTGAACCAACAAAGAACATGATGCACTTTGAGACCCAGTGGACCCAGTCACAGAGCTGGGACTGTCACATCCCCTAACTGTAGAGGCACTTGTTCAGCTCTGGGGGTTTTAGTCCTTGTGGATAATTGGGAAGGTCCTATAGAGTATCTATCATTGGGATCACTCACAAAACAAGTTAATCTCATGGCATCGGGCAGGCATAATTACAAATAGTTCAGTGGTTTCAGAACAAAACCTTGAAATTGCTGTATAAAGGGAGAATTCTTCTTTGGGAGAATAAAG